ACAAAACATTAAGCTCCTTGAGGCAACAGGATGCTTGCTGTTTTCTTTTAATCTACCAGCATTTCAGAATCTTGTACTTCCAATTTTAGAAGAAGTAAAAGATGAGAATGTACTGTCCTATCTTCCCTGGCCTGACCCAGCCTTCCTGATTTGTTTCAATATCCAGAGGCTTCCCTATGTAAGCCATCTCCAGTATTTTGATTTTTTCCACATTTCTCCATGTTTATAGTTCCTCTCCATTTTCTTCTAGGAAAAAGTGTGCAAACAACAAATGCATGTTCTGACCATATGTGAGCACCAAAATTTTTACAGCATTCTCATGTCCATCAGTAAAATTCCTTCCATGAACCTATCCCTAGAAAATGCAAAAATTATTGATAAATGTAGTGCAATGATCAACTTCTCCTCTGTAGCCTACAACACATTAGACATTAGTTTGCCGATGGGAATTAATACAGCCCAAAGTCCTCATTCATTCTTGACAGTTCTATCATATTACTCCATAAGATGCTAAGATACTAGTTGCTGGAGGTGGGGGCAGGGGAGAAGGAATTGATAAAGATGGGAAACCAAGCTGCTTTGCAAATATTCACAGCTGCAGCTTTCTGTAGTCATACTCCTCTTTCCAGTGGACTTTGAAAAGACAAATTCATAAGAGTTATTTAGCCATAAAAGGGAATCAACTCCTAAGTCCGGCTTCCTGAAGACCTTAGAAACTGAATTACCGCAGCACTCCCTAAGGTCCAAAGCACAGATTTTTGTTCCCCTCCCACATCCCTATCCCAAAGAAAAGAGCTTTCCCACTAGCTAAAATAATTAAAAACATTCTCAGAATAGAACACAAAATGTTTCTGCTTTGAATATGAGCCTATTTTCAGGAAAAAAAAAATCATGTATTGCATATTTACAGGTTGATATTACAACAACAGGGAAACTATATGTTTGAGGACTTAATTGCATATAAAAGTAAGTAAATAAAATGTGCAAGGGGGGGTAGTGTGTTCTTTCTTGATGTTGTTCTGCCTACCTTTTCGATTTGTTAACTAACTTCAGGGGTGAATTCTTAAAAGGAGCAATACACCACCCCACAGAAAGTCACTGGTTATCTCTGAACTCGAACTTAGCTTTTTAAATCCTGTCTAGGTAAATTACCTTTCCAGTGCAGGGTATTTCCTTTTAGGAGATTCCTTGGGAAGAGTCTCCAGGGAACTGACTAACTTTTTAATGGTTCACTCAGATTAAGAGGAAGGAAATGTGAACTCCTTTGGGGGGAGGAGGCACCACTCTAGGCTGTCTGCATCCTGTAATTCTTCCCAAGTCCGTGAATCATACTTTTAAGACTCCTTTTCAAGGGCATTTGTCTTCCTTTAAGAGAAGGCCAAAGCAGAAAAGGCAAGTTTTAAAATAGGTCTCAGTCAAGCTTTAGCCATTAAAAACAATTGCATGATTCTCTCACTGACTACCAGGAAAGGTCGCGCCAGATCCCTTACCTGGATGTCTCCCCTCACCTTGCACAATATTCTTCCTTTCTTTGGTTTCAGAATTTGGGAGGCCAAGGCAGGTGGATCTCCTGAGGTCAGGAGTTCGAGACCAGCCTGGCCAACATGGTGAAACCCCGTCTCAATTAAAAATACAAAAATTAGCTTGGCATGATGGCGGGTGCCTGTAATCACAGCTACTCAGGAGGCTGAGGTGGGAGAATCACTTGAACTCAGGAGGCAGAAGTTGCAGTGAGCCGAGATCGTGCCATTGTACTCCACCCTGGGCCACAAAGCTAAACTCCATCTCAAAAAATAAAAAACTTTTCATATCATATCAGTATCTTTGAGCTACAGTTCTTTACAACTCTTCCCATTATAGCCAGCCACTAACACTGATTTCACTTAATGCCAATGGCATTGGAAGAACTGAGCTATGATAATATTTTTCAAAATCATTTTAGATAGAAATCTAGCTTTGAAAACAATGTCTTTACTTAACAAAATACCTACTATGTAGACAATTGTAGACTATTTTTATACCTTTTCCGCAAAGACATGAGCATTTCTGAGAACAAATTTGTCAGTGAATAAAGTTTATCAGGGGTTGAGGCATGTAGATCCTTCCAACTTCTGTAGAAGTATGAAGTCACAGGAGCACATTTCTAAAATGCTACCATGTTATAATACTAGTTACTCAACCAATAAAGTATATTTACTGAGTATCCATTAAGTGGCGACTTCTATTATTTTGAAGCTCCTGCAAAAAGTGGAAAAAGTCAGGAGTGGTGGCTCATACCTGTAATCCTTGCACTTTGGGAGGCTGAGGCGGGTGGATGCTTTGAGCCCAGAAGTTCCAGACTAGCTTGAGCAACATGGCAAAGGCCCTGTCTCTATTTTTTTTAATAAAAGAGTGGAACAACCCTCTTGTTGAAAATGTGCAAAAGAACAAATGTATCATGACTTGGAATATCCAGAGAAAGTACACCAAGAACGAACACTGATGTAAACTGTGGACTTTGGATGGTGATGATTTATCACTGTAGGTTTGTCAGTTGTAACAAAGGCACCTGTCTTGTGGGGGATATAGGTAGCAGGAAGGCATTGCATGTGAGAACGTTAGGATATATAAAGACCTGGCGTGGTGGCTCATGCCTGTGATCCCAGCACTTTGGGAGGCCAAGGTGATGGATCGCCTGAGGTCAGGAGTTTGAGACTAGCCTGGCCAACAAAGTGAAACCCCGTCTCTATTAAAAATACAAAAATTAGCAGAACGTGGTGCTGCATGCCTGTAATCTCAGCTACTCGGGAGGCTGAGGCGGTGGAATCGCTTGAACCTGGGAAGCAGAGGTTGCAGTGAGCTGAGATCATGCCAGTGCACTCCAGCCTGGGCCACAGAGAAAGACTCTGTCTCAATAAATAAATAAATAAATAAATGTATAAATGAATAAATAAATAATAAAAGAAGGATATATGGGAAATCTCTATCCCTTCCTCTCAATTTTATTGTAACACTAACAGTTCTGAATTACAGGACACATCTCATCCCAAGAGTTTTGGATGCGAGATTGTGGACAAAAATACACTGAAAGAGAGAAAGGAAGGAAGGAAGAAAAGAATAGAAAACAGTTGCATTCTGTTTTATCCCTTCTCTGATTTCTTGAGAACTCCTAGTTTTTGATTTCCATGCAGGTCCCCATTATTATAATGGTCCATTTTTTAATTGAAATTTTATTTTCAGTACTAAAGTGCACAGAAACCTAGAAATATAACTGTGATTTCTACTCAGGTAGACCTTAAAGGTTTTTTATATGAATGCCTGTGGCCTGCATGTTGTTTCTATACATCTATTTCAACAGAGTACTCATAAATTTAAATTTTTTTCCTCATTCTGGGTAGAAATGTCAGAAATGTGAGACTAAGGATTTAAAGCATAAATTGGGAGTTTGTTGATGAAAAGAAAGAAAGGAGGAAAGGGTTGAAAGAAAGAAAGAAAGGATGGAAGGAAGGGAGAAAGGAAAAAATAAAATAAGAGAAAGGAAAAAAGAAAGAAATCTTAGTCTGTAAACTCTACATTGATGTTTCTCAGTGCTTAAGACATCATGAAAGAAAAGATGTGAAAGGCAAATTCTAATATTATTCTAAAACTGCAATCCAGTTGCATCCAAACATAAATTTAAATCTAAATCATTTGGAAGAAAATATCTATCCTATATTTTTGTTTAGAGCTGATATCCATAATATCTCATGTATTATACAGATCCATATTATAGAGATTATATATACAAATATTTCATTACTTATGCATAAAACCTGATTTGTTGAGGGATATAAACTATGGCTTTCTCAGGTATCACTGCTGCTTGATTGTTCTGAGTATTGGCTTTCTGACAGGGATTGGAATGAAGCCATTTTTATTAATTTAGTTATTTTTGCTGATATAAAAGGCCGTCTATCATGTTAATGATGGATCAGTCTGCGGTCCCTCGGAACAATAATTACAGAATGTTCCTAATAGTAAATCATTTGTCACAATCACAGCTCAGTACAACAACCTTTTGTTGAGCGGGGGAAGACATTATCTGAATAGCGATACACCTTTATTTGAAGTGATTAGAGGTCTTACATGGAGCAGTCTGGCAAATACCTGAGCATTCCACGTCTGAACCTTCCATCCCCACATTGTAACCTGGGGATGTACACTGTGAGCTGCTGAATTTTCTCCAGTGTTAACCTATCTGACACAATGAAATCAACATGTTCTGCCCAGGGAAGAACACATCAGGTTTCACAAGAATCTAAGAGGGGGACTGCTCTGAAAAAGAGGAGACACCAAATGATCAGAAAAAGGAAACTTTTTAAGGTTTTTACTTCCATTTCCCCTTTCACCAAGAATTGGGCACAGAAAGGATACAATACTCAAAAAGAAAAATTGACATTAAGAAAAAGGCATTGCTATCTAAACTAAATGAAATCCCCATCATCAGAAAGGATAATAATGGTCCAGTTCTTCTCTGCAAGGATTCACAAATTGCTTTCAGTTTTGTTTTTGTTTTTGTTTTTGTTTTTGTTTTTTTGCACTATATGTAAATCGTAAGAGCCAACATTGATGGAATGTTTTCTATGTGCAGGGAAACTTTTCAAAATAGATGTGAACCTGAAATCACAACAAAACTGAGTAGAAGTTACAGAGATTTCTCATATAGCCCCTGCGCCCCCACCCCTTCTCCCAGTCCAGTCTCCTCCCCCGTGTTACTATTGATAAACCTACACTGACACACTGTTGTCACCCCAGGTCCACAGTTTACATCAGGAACTTTCTTAAGGACTTAATATGCATTAATTCTTTCCATAGTTTCAAAGACTTTGATATTAGCTCCATTTTAGAGAAAAGGGAACTGAGGCAGAGAAGAGTTAAGTCAAATCAGGGTGATTTCTGAGATTTGGCCAATTTCAAACCCTAACCCAGTTGCTTAACTACTTCTCATTATTGAAGCACCCCCTTGAAATAAATCAACAACATTTCTTGAGCACCCATACATTTATTGATTTTTGGTGAGATGATGTCAACCATGCTAGTTGGGCAAGAGTAACCCCATGTAATGGACAAAGTAACCCAACTTAAAAATAGGAAAAGCTAGTATTTTAATTTGGGTCCATTGACAAGAAGCCTGCATCTTATCACATGGCCTTTGCCCCATATTCCCATATTCTGTAGGAAAAGCTGCACAGTTAATGAGCGAGTGTGTCACGCATGGCTTGAGTGGCTATGTTTTTTATAATAATGATACTCAAACTTGAGGTCCATGGATTTTATAAAATAACAGAAACAAGTAACTTCACTTTAAGGCTATGTGCTTCTATATTTTATTTTCTACAAGTGAATTCTTGATTAGACATTTTATTGAGATAGGAATGAAGATATATACAGGAAGAAATTCTAAAATACTTGTTCATTAAGCCCAGTGACAGGAAAATAACCTCAAGATCAATTAAAATATAGGAAGTAGAGGGAGCTATAAGGTATGCTATGAGTTTAAAAGACCACATCACAGAAAAAAAAAGATTTTTTTTTAAGCATCAAAAATACAAATTGTTCTAGAAGTCTATGTGCTCTTCAATCAAATTAGAGAGCTCTATTATACCAGGAATCCTTTTTATAGTGTTTTAAAAAGCCATGCTTAGAGTTCTTTCTCTTTGATTGCCCCAAAATGAATTTGGAAGCCTCAAATTAGGATTCAATGGAATAACTTGTAAGTGCCCTCTCCCCTCAGACACTTACCCTTTCTTATTGTCTAGAATTTTGTGGGTGATATCCTTGGACTCTTAACATGCAAGTCAAACTTGCTTTCCTAGTGTCAAATCCAAAATACCAATTAAGTTGAACAGAGAAATGAATATGCTTATAAATTTTTGACAACCACGGATAGCAATAAGGAAGTCCTTGGACATACGTTTAAATCAGTTATCAGGGGACACCAGAGGACCAGAAAGTTGTTTTTTGCCAAGCCATTGCAGCCACCTTTTCTCACATTGGCCAGATGGCCTGGAGGTGGCACTTACAGCTGCTTCTGGAAGGAACATGCCGCAAACACACAGGCACCCTTGACACTGTCACTGTACTGCTTTCCAAAGGGAAGACGTCCTGTTTGGGAAAAAAAAAAAAAAAAAAAAATCAAATGGCTTCCTCTTGCCCCAACCTCGCTGTACCCTACCCCTATGTTCTGTCCAGAAGAAAAATCCCTCAGCCGCAATGGTTGTTTTTATTAAATTCTCCTCAATAAAAAGCTCAGGCAGGATTTATTAGGTACTCAGGGCGGACGTTTAGTATTTCGCCAGTTATTAAGTGAAAATCAATAGAAAGCAAAGAAAATGGAAGTCACTGCACTGTTAGTGCACTGTTGTCGCCCAGATATTATGTCGGCTGTCTTGTAGATTCATGACAGACGAAAGAGGCCGGGAGAGAACTTTCTGCTTACATTGCACGAGCCAAAGTGGGGTTATTCATTAGAGCAGGCAGCCGGCCAGATGGATTTCCAGTTCAGTTTTACCATTTATCTTTAAAACGCCTGTATCGAGTGAGAAAGAACACTGATATTATGTGATATCAATGGCAGGTTTATGTATCTAAATCAGGATTTATTGTTATTTTGTTCCAAAGACCTTTTTTTCTCAAGAAATACCATTTCACTGGAAGAAAATAATAGCTAAAACCTTGTCAAAGATAACCTTTCATGCTGTCCGTGCACCACTAGCTGTAAAACAAATAGAACCTGGTATATAAATAGTTTTAGCCACATCCTTACAAATCATTCTTCTGAATCTGTTTCCCCCATTTCAATATATATATATATATATATATATATATATATATATATATATATATGTTTTTTAATGCCACATACATGATTTTGGGTCATTCAGTGTTTTCCTTGCCTGTAGTTTAGCTCTAAATAATGTCAGCAGTTGTTTTAATTGCATCTGAAAGCTTTAGCTGTTTTGTGTTCTTCTGTGGAATGCTACATTTCTCAAAAGCATTCTTTGGAAAAGCAAAGTGATCTGCTGTTTTTTTTTTCTTCCCCCGCCTTAGAATGAGCTTTAGAGTCAAAAACACCCATCATCTTTTTTCAGCTACTTCACGGTCTTCAAAAGCCAGGATATATTTTCCTTTCACTTGAATTGACATTTTTGGTAGCGTCCGGGTTTTCTGATTCTCTCTCATGTAAAAGACAGATTACACAGTTGGGCAGATCGGATCTCTAGTCAATCCTGCTAAGTAACGAAGGTGACCAAACACTTGGATGAACCATTGTACCCTCTTTATAAATAGCTCCCAAGAAAATGCAGTCGATCTATTTACAAAATGTCTTTAGTGACACTTTGTGATTAGGAGAAAAATTACACCGGGGTTTTGACTGGAACTGTTTGCTAATAAACAACTGTAAATATATTTTTAAGCTACCTTACTTTTTCTAGTAGCCAGACAAGGTTATTTAGAAACCAATATGCACTCTTTTTGTTTGTTTGTTTTTGAGACAGAGCCTTGCTCTGTCACCCAGGCTGGAGTGCAGTGGCATGATCCTGGCTCACTTAAACCTCTGCCTCCCTGATTCCAGCAATTCTCCTGCTTCAGCGTCCCAAGTAGCTGGGACTACAGGCGCATGCCACCACTCCCGGCTAATTTTTTGTATTTTTAGTAGAGGTGGGGTTTCACCATGTTAGCCAGGATGGTATCCATCTCCTGATCTCATGATCTGCCCGCCTTGGCCTTCCGATGTGCTGGGATTATAGACGTGAGCCACAGTGCCCGGCCAATATGCATTATTAAGTGTCACCAACTTAGAAATTTTTTCTAAATACCAACTGAAGCATTTTGCTACCACTGGACAAAAGTGATATATTGAAGAGTAGGAAAATAAAAGTAAAACTAGATTATAAATTATTTTTTCCTTGATAGTCTTCTTTGTAGCTAAATTCTTCTTGTAGTTTTCTATTTAGCAGTTTTTCTCCTTTTAAATCTGCATTGATGACAATCCAAACTGCATTTTCCTTTTAGATGGCACCCTCCAATAAAACACAGGAAGGTCTTTATAATTCTCACTTTTTAAGTGAAACCATTCTAAAACCCTGTATGTATTTATGCATGTGTGTTTGGACCTGTTGATGGAGAGGGGGCAATAAAGAACAGTGGTTAAGAAAATGAACTCTGGAACTGGATTACATAAGTTCAAATCACAGTCTGTCACTCCTTGGCAGTATGATTTGGGGAAGTTATTATAGCACTATGCTTCAGTTTTCTCATCTGCATAAAAAGATAATAACCTTATAGATTTCTTGACAAGAATAAAGGGGTCAATATAGGTAAAGTTCATATATTATTACTTACTTGATATTAAGTCCTTAAAGCATTAGGTAGCTATTACTTTGAGCACACAAAATCCAGAACACCAACTCATCCACGCTGATGCTTTGATTTTCCAACAAAATGGGATATAGTCTCATAGGGATTCAATTAACTCTCCATTTTCATATTTCCTTATGTATTTGGACCCTGCCAAAAGATATAGTCTCAAGCTTCAGCTGTAAAGAGAATCTCAGTTAAACCTAAATTTTGTATTAAATAAATTTGCCTTAAAGAAAAATCTCTTTTTTGTGGGATCAACATTCAATCTGAAATAATAAAAAGAGTCTATGGACCTAACCACAGTATTGATTTATTAATAGCTGTACTGTTACAGTAGTCATGAGCCCTAATGTCTGATTGGGGACCTATTTGTAGACATCTTAATTTGTTGAAAACAATGTCTAGTTATTTCATTCTAACAAATAGTATTAGCAACACATGCAGTTATGAGAAAGAAATGATATTGCTATTTAATATGACTTGAGCAGTGAGAAAACTAAGACATTAATGCCAAAGAAAATGAAAGTTGATAACTTGGATTCATTGCCCATGTGCATCATGTCACTTGAATAGTTGCCAACGCTGTCTCTTACTTTGACTTTATAGTATCAGCCCACTAGCCTTTTATCTTGCTTGTCCTCTCTAGACGTCAGATTTCTTACTTGTAGAGGGAGTATAATATGCCATCTTTATTCACCCTACAGTTGAGGGCTGAAGGAGAAAGCATAAAACACTTATTAAAAGAAAACAATGCTTTATACAGTCAGACTGGGGAGAAAAATCAGTGCAATTAATGAAACAGTGATGGTAGGAAAGAGTGACTACTGTCTACTTTATTGCCTATTCATAGGCACTCCTGTGTTTGTTCAACAAAAATTGTTTGAACACCAAGGGCAAGGAGGTTCAGAGCCTAAGTTGGCCCCAGCTGCCTGGCCCCACCCTCTCCTCTTCCTCTGGGTGTCTGTAAGATCCTAGCTAGTGGTCTAACCTCTCTGTGCCTCAGATTCTTTGTTTGCAATATTGGGATAACAACAGTAGTCAGTTATGTACTAAAAGAGATAAATAGTACTGACTCACGTATTAAGTAAGATCATACATATAAAGTGCTTAGAATAGTGCCTAATAAACACTCCATTATGTTTTCACTGGTGTTTGCCTTCCATGTGCACAACATAATGCTGATCAATTCAGAAGACAAGTCCCTGACCTCATGAGCTGATCAGAAAATCAGATTCATCTTAGATCAGAAAATTCAGAAAAAAAAAATATAGGCAACTTTTATATGGGGTAATAAAAAAGGACAACCCAACTCTTATTGAAGGCATGAGATAGAGGTAGAAAAGACTTCCTTGTGGAAGTGATAGCTAAGCTGAAAAATTAAAGATGAAGTCAGAAGGTAAAGGTAGCTATAGGCTGGGCACGGTGGCTCATGCCTGTATTCCTGCCACTTTGGGAGCCCAAGGCGGGTGGATCACAAGGTCAGGAGTTTGAGACCAGCCTGGCTAACATGGTGAAACCTCATCTCTACTAAAAATACAAAAATTAGCCCAGTGTGGTGGTGCGTGCCTATAATCCCAGCTACTCAGGAGGTTGAGGCAGGAGAATTGCTTGAACCCAGGAGGCGAAGAATTTAGTGAGCCAAGATCATGCCACTGCACCCCATCCGGGGCAACAGAGCAAGACTCCATCTCAACAACAACAACAAATGGTGGCTATAAACTTGAGGTATTTAATAGAACCCTCTGCAATAAAGGAATGGCCTACAGCTGCAATTTCCAATATGGTGGCCACAAGCCACATACAGCTATGGCAGGTTTGAAATGTACCTAAGGCATGAGAGGAACTAAATGGAGTTCATTCATTTTAATTTTTTTCAAATTTAAATGTAAATAGCCACATGAGCCTAGTGGCTAACACACTGGGCAGTTCAGCTCTACACAGAGGGAAAAACATGTGCAAAGATCTAGAGATGAGAGAATTCTTATGTTCTGAAGAACTGACATGTTGAAAAGCAGAGCAGATTCTTGAAGGATGTGACTTTTGGAAATTAGCAGAGGTAATGCATGGTTTACTGCAAAGTTCTGGCTTTCTCTCAGGGCCATGGAAAACCGTTGAAGGGTAATAAGGAGAGTGATACAATCTGATTTGAAATTTAGAAAGATCTCTCCAACTACACTTAAAATAGCAGCTAGAATTATTAACACTTCACAGTTTACACACTTTTCTGATCATCTGACCTCTCTTATTATTCAAATCACCTATATGAGATAAATCTGTATTTCCTTTTCTATGTCTTATTTATTTTGTATCCAATCAGCAGCCTTTGCTCTTGCCCGTGCCCCTTTACTACATCTTGGAAGACAGACGTGATAAAAGTTACACATTTGTATGTTATCAGTGCACAGACTCATTCATTAGGAGATTTCATTAATTCATTCGGAAAAACAGCAGCAGGTTACTTCCAAATGTTTAAGAATCATTTTCCTCATTGTGACCTGAAATGCATTCAGTGGTGGTCCCATGGGCCATCCACCACTCCTGGCACATTAGTTAACTCCTCTTGCTATTGCCGGCGAGGGCCTGAGCTTCTCTGTGCGCACAGAGTGATGAGGGATGAGCCTGCCTCACCCGGCTTCCCGCAGACTTCCTCTCACTCTCACATCTGTATCCATTCTTGCCTCGAAGACAAGTTGAAAAGAGAACCTGGACTAGGCAGGGGTATCCACTGCAATATGCTGACAGTCCCTGGCTGCTGACCTGAATCTCCATGTCAGGTCTGAGTAGATAAAAGATGGCATTTTTGTGAGTGGAGATGAGGAAGGAGTACAGCCACTCTGCGCTGGAATCAGCACTTCTTCCCAACACATGCACACACATGCAACTTTAATTCAGCAATTCTCTTAGTAAGAAATTTTCAAAAACAACAAAAAATATGAACATGTGATTTGATTGCATCAAGTTATTTTCTTTCTTTCTTTTTTTTTTTTTTAAAGTAGTATTATTAATAAAATAACACTTCCTTAAAAGAAAAAAAAAAGCAGGGACTGTAAATGTTGCACTAATTTAATTACACACTGGCACTGTAAGACACTAATGTAAATATTCTGGTGAGTAGGCATAAGACACTTGAAGTAATTACTTAAGGACTCCCTTTCAAAGAATCTCTCCCTTTTTTATTAAATGCCTTTTAACATTAGCACTTTCTTCCTGACAAATTAAATGAAATTTCATTACTGTCCCCGACTTAATGGCATCAGGCTCCCGCCTAGGTGTGAGTTAACCCTCCCAGGACAGCTGACAAGGGCTCCTACACTCAGCCAAAATGCCACTGTCCTAACTCGCAAGAGAAAGGAAGCCTTGGAGAATCCTTTGTGTTTTTACCAGAGCTTCCAGAATCCTTCATTTCTTTGATGTTTTTTCAGCTGTGATCCTTATAAAAATCTAAAGAACCAGTAGTATTGTTGTTTTCCAGTGTTTTTGAGTTCACCCACCACAAAAAAAAGAAAAAAGAATATCTTTCACTGACTCTAATAATGACAGCAAGGATAACAATAATAGCAAACAATTATACAGTACTTCTTAAATACCTTCTAAGCAGTTTACCTCTTTTCACTCATTTAAGCCCCGACAAAACATTATAAGGTAAAGACTGTTAATTCCTACTCTCAAGTAAGGAAATTAAAGTACAGCGTGGTTGAGCAATTTACCCAAGGTCACACAGTTAAGAAACAACAGAGCTGGGATTCAACCCAATCAGCCAGCTATTGTCAGACAGTTTTATACATGTAATTATAGAATCTTCAACCCTGGATTGACATAGACTTATTTCCATATTCCTTTTTACATTTGTGGAAATCAAAACTCAGACATGTTAAGCGGCAAGGTCTAGATCATGCAATCTGTGTCACCCAGGATTTTTGAACCAGCCACATCTTCTTGATAAATAAGCTTCACAATTAAGTTTCCAAAGGGTGATCTCTGAAAAACAGTGCTTCTACCTACTTCATTATACTTACTAAGAAAAAAAAATCCAATAATTTACTTTTAAAAGAGAAAAAAGGAAATAGAGATTATTGTGAGATTGAATTTATTTCTAATACTTTAGCAATTAAACTATAAAGTGACAAGAAAAAGTACAGAATAATTGCTCAGGAACTGTGGGTCTGAGGTCCTTGTCCTACAAATCTCAGTATAACTAAAACAAATATGTGTTAATTTTTGTTAAGAGAACAGTTGAGAAAAACTTCACAAAGTGAACACTGCAAGAGTCGTTCTGTTTTTAGATAGAACTTGGGCTTGGGAGTATGCCAAAGAGAGACTCCCAGCATAGGTGTAACACCAATAAGAATGGCTTGAGAATGAGTTCACTAATCGATATCCCTGGCATTTTTTATTCAGCTATCTTTTTCAGGACGCATGGTCATATTTTCCATATGCCAAATTTTACCTCTATTATTTTTAAAGTCTACTTATTATTTCCTTGTTTAGACCTAACTTTCCTTCTTACTCTCATTTTGGACTTAATTTTATTCTGTCTTTCAGGATTTCAATACATTTAGAGGTCTAACAACACAGAATCATAATGAGAAAACACTCTATATGGTCAACTTTGAGTGTCTGCAGACAGGGCCAACTTTTAATGAGAATGCATTTTCCTTTTGCTTCCCTCTATCTGAGCCAGTGATACTTCTCTTTGGCTGAAACTGCTTTCTCTACATAATCCTTTTTCCTGTCTATGTCACCAGTAGCTGGGACATCCCGATGTCATGTTCCATCTTACCAAAAGGGTGTCCTTTCCAAGACCTCAGGCCATGTGGAAGAAAATAATCAGCTCAAAGTTCAGATGACAAATGTTACAAGGGGGAGTTTTTTTTTTTCCTCCTCTTGGTTTTTCTTAAACATATGTAGCTTTAAGAATCAGTATGTCAGTGTTTTGAAAGAAGCAGAGACTAAATTTATTTTGGTGTAGCTATCAGATTCTGAGGAGCTGGATCATTTGTTTTCCTCTTGTGAGGTCCAGGTAAAAGTTCATTCCCTCCATGGCCTGGTGCTTCTGACAAACAAAAATCAAGGACCCAAAATAAGTATTTTATCTGAAAAATGTGAACTATCCCAAAACAAACATGAAAAAGCACAGCTGCCAA